CCAAAAACATCCTTTGCCGTACGATCCCTGAGTCTCGATGCATGAGATAGGAAGCGATCACGCACCAGAGGACACAGAAACTGGATGACAATTTCACGAGAGTCTTGATTTGCCTGTTGAGGGATCAAGGAGGTTGCACCAGATGACAGGGGTKCTGACGACCTTTGCCAGTCACGAACCTCTARGATATGTGCTGGATGGATTTGAACCTCGAGAAAATTAATTAGCTTATTGATAGCAGCATCGTTCTTGATGATCTGCGAGGATGGTACGCCCGAGATTTTGACCTCACACCGATCAGCGATAGCGCGAGAAACTGAGGCAATCTCACTGCGGACGGCCGCAACTTCACTCCTGTGAACTGATTTCATAGAAATCCAACCTCGTTCCCAGCGAAGTAATATTGGAGTTAAGTGCTGTCATGTGATTATCATAATGAGCACGAAAGTCAGCAAACCATGCTGGCGCTTGGTCAGGCAGATTCRGCATTTTTAAGTCGGATGAGAGATCTGGTGGGGAAGTGCTCGAATACACTGAAGTAGGCGCGGCTTTGCAGTGTYGCTTAGCAAMGCGCAATGATGGCGGCSAAGAGGGCGGCGCTCGACGCTTGGCTCGTTGTTGATTGGTGGAGGGAGGAGCCAAGRAATGCTGCAGCGAGTTCGAGAGTGAAGGAGTGTCCTGATTRGTTGAGCAGGCARAGCAACAGATGGAACGCGAGCCACACAATCGACTTGGACTGATACAGGCAGTATGAAAGAGATTGRCACACTTTACACACGCAAACGAGGTTTCCTTACCTCGAGCAATTATCTCKRAGCACTTCCCACAGGTAGATTTTCGCATGTTACAGTGTCCACTCCATCGCAAGGTAAATCATCATCAACTGTCRGTAAATCACTTGTGAATGTAGTGCAGATCCAGCCACCAGATGGAGCGATTTTAGCGTGCAAAAGAATTCGCAAGTCAGCCGCCTCGTGCGAATTTGGAGGTTATGTGGTTTGAGGTTAGCTTGTGCAAAAAATTTCCAAGGAATTTTACAGGTCAACAATTAGTGCTCTCTCAATAATTCAATAATYAATTTGACCTGCAACACTCCAATAATACGGTCGACACAGTGTCTCCCACGAATTCGCAAATGAGCACAATTAAAAGAGGTAGATGTGAGGAGTAAATTAGGACGCGTCTACTAACCTTAAGAGAGAGAGAGAGAGAGAGAGAGAGAGATTAGATTAGATTAGATTAGATTAGATTTATTTTTGTACATTTTGTTGTACATAAATAAGTGAAGACAGAGTACAGTGACAAGTGAGAAATATTAAGATTAGGAACTAAAATTATAATTAAAATTTAACTAAACTATATAAACTATATAAAAAAAAACAAAAAAAAAGAGGGAATACCAGAAGTAGAAATAAAAGTAAAAATAAAGCCCAATAGGCTAGGCAAACTGCTGTGAAATTGAGGATGAAGGGCAGAAAGGGGAGATTGGATGAACTATAGGTGAGAGGTTAGTGATGGAAGCAGATACCAGTTTGATGAGATTTTAGTTGTATTATCTATGTTGAGAAAGTATGAAAAGGAAGCTGGTTTAAAGGAAGAAATGGTATTAAGAAGGCGAAATGATGAAGGTAGATGATTCCAAATGTATGAACCGGTGATGATGAATGAGTTTCTTAGGGTTTCAGTGCGAAACCTTGGTATATTCAGAGGCCTAACATTACGTTACAGAGCGTACAGGGCGTGATGAGATATTCCAATTTAATTCCCTGGAAAGGTAGATTGGTCTGCCAGTTTTAAACAATTTAAAGAGAAAACACGAGAGAAAATATGCTCTTCGCATCTTAACTCGCAGCCAGGAGAGTTCACGCCTGTACTGGGTAATGTGTTCAAACCTGCTAACACCAAATACATACCGAATACCAGTATTAATAAGTCTGTCCAGACGCTCATCTTGTTCATCACTCACATTAGTAAAAACCAGGGAGCAATAGTCAATCAAGGGGAACAAGAGCATTTCAACAAGATGCTTGCGAAGCAATTGGTCCAGTACAACCCCCAGACTTTTTACAGAAGGCTCAAACATAACCCTCGATTGACCAACCTCAACATAACCTCTCGCAACCAGCGACATCTCCCTAATGACTGGAGCAGAACCGAAGGGTATTGCCTTGGTCTTTGCTACATTCAGTTCGAGCTTATTATCGCTGGCCCAGGCAATTATTCTGTCAGCCGCCCCACTCAGGGTGCTATTGACCGTGTCAACGTCAGCCACTCTACCCTGCGCATAAATCTGTAGATCGTCAGCAAACATCACACAGGAGACCTCGTCATGCAAGATACGAGGTAGGTCGTTTATGTAGATAGCAAACAGTAGTGGACCGAGAACGGAGCCCTGTGGGACACCCATGTTAGTTTTTAATGGATTAGATTTCAGGTTGTCTCTCCCCACCACCGTCTGCCATCTACCAGTAAGATACGAGCGAAGCCACGCCACAACCTTATAGGAGAATCTTAAATTGTAGAGTTTTTTAACAGTGTGACGTGGCATACTTTATCGAATGCTTTGCTGAAGTCAAATAAAAGTAGTAGTGTGATGAAGCCACGATCAATACCTCGTCTAATGTCGTCAGTTAACTTCAGCAGCGCGGTTTGAGTGCTATGATTAGCGCGAAAGCCAGACTGGCTGTCATCGATGAGGCCATTCACCTCAATGAACCGAGAGAGCTGGTTGTGAACCAATCTCTCGAGAACTTTTGAGAGATAACATAAGAGAGAGATTGGTCCGTGGTCATTCAGACACCTAGGAGATTTGACCTTCTTCAGAGCTATAACAACAGAGCGCTTCCATAGTGACGGAAAGTAAGAATATTGTAGCGATGCATTGAAGATTTTACCAAGGTATGGGCTGATGACCGGTAGCGCTGACTTGACCACACAATGCGGTATTTCATCTGCTCCTCTGGCCTGAGAACTAGAGGAGCTTACAATGATGCTTATATCTGCTAGGGTGACTGGAGAGAAGTTAAATTTTTCATTGCTGTTGCTTGCGGAAAGTGAATTAAGAAAAACAGAGGTAATATTTGGATCTGCCAGAGGATCAAATGAAACACCAGCAAAGCATTCATTAAGCTGGTCGACAGTAAAATTTTTGGGAGCAGCCACCGGTCCAGCACAAACACCCAAGTGCCTGAGTTCCCTCCAAAGCAGTCTCGGATCACTGAGGCCCCTCAGTCTGGTATAGTAATAATTTAGACGCGCAGCACTGATGGACTCATGGGCACCATCACGGGCACTTCGGTATGCTAGGAGGTCAGGTAGAAGTCTCGTGCGTTTAAAACGTCTGTAAAGTCGGTCACGTTCGGAAATTAAGGATCTGTGGTGTAAAGTAAACCAGGGATGATTACGTTTGTTGGGTTTGATGAGTTTAAGTGGAGCTAATTTGTCTATGGCTTTATTGAGATGTTGGTTTAAGGAATCTAAGGCAGGGTCGATACCAGAGGATTGATTGAGGTTAGTGTCTAAGAGGTTCCAGTTGCAAGAGTTCAAGTAAGAGAGAAAAGYGGCARTGTCCAGTTTTTTGTAATCACGGAAATAAAAAGAATTTTGAGTATGTGAAGRGWTTTGGATAGAAAGTGTTGCGGAAATTAGGTCATGACCGTCGGTGAAAGGCACATCTGTTTTTCCGAATTTATGGATTCTGTAACTACGGTCAGCATCAACTTTGTCGCTGCCAATGATGGTGTCCTGTGAGTCCACCAGGCAAAGGTCAAGCCAGGTGTCATAGGTTTTGGTGTGGAATTTGGCCCCGTAAGGCACCGAGTAAAGGTTATTCTCATCAATCAATTTGCGAATAAATTTCGCGTGTTCAGAGTTACTAAGTTGATCAACGTTGAAGTCTCCGAGAATAACCTTAGTGGTATAGTTGTGCATAGTACTGACGAGTTTATCTACATTTATCTTTTAGAAATGTAGATCTTTTAGAAATTTTATCTACGTTATCTTTTAGAAATGATGCCTTAGGGGGGCGATAAACCACAGCCACAAAGATCTTATTGATTCCAGGAKCAGAGACTTCACAAAACAGATACTCCGGATAACCAGGCTGATGGGTCCAAGCAGCAGAAGAAGCGCAGATGACAGATACCTTCTGAGAGTGATGTATGTAGAGTGCAAAACCGCCTCCACTGGCATTACGGTCATGTCTGTGGAGAGTGTAACCGGGTAAATCGAAGAGAGAATCCGGAATGACCTGAGAAAGTTTGGTCTCAGTGACAGCAATTATGTGGTAGCAGGGTTGAGTGGCCAGATAGAAGCGTATCATCTCAATGCGTGCCCTAAGAGAGTTTACATTGACATGACAAACCCTAAGGTATACCTTTGTTTCGTCACCTTCACCTGCAGAATTAAGTAGTTGATGAGTGTTTTGAGAGATGATGGTGTGGTTAGGCAGTTGATGACTGTTTTCAGAGATGATGGGGTGGTTACGTAGGGTAGATGGATTGTGCTGTCTAGGTGGCTTGATAGGAATAGTAGGTTGACTGAGTGGAAGCAGCGGTGAATAAAAAGTGTTGCCTAGTTTATTGCTAAAAAATTATCAMGATCATTGGTARAGCTAATAAGTACAGGARTGKCCTCACTCTTCTTCTTCGCGTATATGCATCCACTTTTGATAAAATAAAAGAACATAGGAGTAGACTGCTGCTTCTTCTTCGCCTGGATGTTCAATTTGAGTTTATAAGTCGGTCCATCCAGTAATTCATTAATAATAATATTAGTCTCTGGGAGAGGCACAGTGCAGCCTGCTTGTATGAGTGAATCCTGAGAGAGCTGAGATGAACGGAGAACTTTACGTTTAATCTTGTCAAACAATATAGCTTCTGCTAGCGCCGGAGAGAGCAACGTTACTGCGATGGTAATACGATTGCTTGATGGAGCAGCGGCAATTTGTGAGAGTTGGACATCGATCAGCTGGTTAATAGAAGGTGTTGTCATTGTAGTGGTAGGTACARATACAGGTGGCGCAGTGGCAGCTGGAGGACCACGTTTGTTCAGAAGACGCACTCTAACAATATCATGCTCGACAATAGATGGTCGGATGGTGCGTATGACACTCAGAGCTAAGAGGTTGATGTTAATACGTTCTTTTGACGTGTTGCCGCAATCAATGCAACTAATAACTAGTGTAAAATCAGAATTTGTGCGCCTAGTGACTGGTGTATTTCTCTGCAAAGTGCTGTTTTGCGATAATGTCATAGGGTCTAGCGAAGAGTTTAAAGTGGTGCTTTGTTGGTGTAGGTTAGCGGTGACAATGTCACGCAGCGATTTATTTTCTTCTTGCAGGTTTTTAACCTGCCCCTCAAGCACGTCGATCCTATTAACAAGTTTTGGTAACTGTTCCAGAGGAGTAACTTTCTGGTTCAGTACAGCGAGGTCATGGTTGATACTGCTACGGAATCCACCCAAATCAGTAACCAACGTTTCCAGTTTCTTCCAAATATCTAAGTTGGTTGGTGTATAAGACGCAGAATCTGTAGAATGGGCTCTAAATGTAGACTGAGCAAGGAGCGAATCGGGAGTGGTTGACCTAGAATCGCCAAGCGCATGCATTTTTGATCCAGAAACGGCAGATGACTGAGAGTTCGATCTAGTGCGCGGTCCTTCCTCATTGGCCAAGGAAAACAGAGTGATTCTTTCGACGCAGCTGTCACAAACCTGAGTCAACTCTCCGGCCGTATTTCTTACATTATTTAGTTTGGAGCAAGTAGAATGATGCGTAAGATTGCAATGCAGACAGGAAATACGCTTGGTTTTGCCAGTGATAGCCCTCTCGCAGCTACCACAGATACATGCAGTGGTTTGCGAATTAGAATTAGAAGACATTGTTGAAGTGACAGAAAAAATCAGATGAATTCAACAAAACCACGACGAAACTGTAATAACGGTAATAAAGCTGCAGTGTTGGTAAGTGGGTAAGTTGTCGACCTTACCTCAATTATAGTTAAGAATTTGATTGATTGATGGCGTGAAAAACTGCTTTGCCGACGGTAACTCCAATTCAAGTACCAATCTCAACTAAGAGATGGCGCCACTTATATCAAAAATCGCAGATTTTGTTGTTTATGATACCTCCAATAGATTTGTAGGTTAGGATGCGCCAGAGATTGATAAAAATGATCAATAGCT